AATCGCACATTCTATAAACGTTTCTTTTCCACGCTTCGCCTGAATCCGCCTACGACTACCAGACAACCTTTGTTCACGAAGGATATGAACAAATTTTTGTTTGTACCTCTGATTGTTTGCCTAGGCTGTCGTCGATACGTAAATGATTCGGTACCAGATAATTTTTACCAGAGAATAGGAATTTAACGGTGAAAAGATTGTCCATTGTACTCGACATTCATTTATGAGATTCACAAGGGAGGAGGGGGGCCAGGGAGAAGGGAGAACGGGGGGATCGGTAGGACGATTCTACGGAACGACAGTGTTTCGATCAATCATCGATAATCGCCATGTGTTTAATGCACCTCATGAACGGAAGGTCCGGGAAAATTATTGATTTGTCATATTTCTCCGTAATGGTCCGTGGCACGCGACCCATTGATACCAATCCATAAATATCTATCACTCTTTATTACGACGAGGTGTGGCAAAGCGTCAGTTCGCATTACCGATGCATTACATTGGTAATCCTTGTTCGACGTTTATTTCCATTACTGGTATATACAGTATCAGTTTTATGCACGCGAAACGGCTCTGGACGTATCCAATGTCTGTGTTTGGATAACGCCTGGTTTTTCCACTGAAAGCCAGGACACGCGAACGAGGCGTGAAGAAAAAACTATTGGAAATACGTCACCGGGAAAAATAAACCCCCTGGAAAACTTAGCTATTCCAGGGTAACGAAATGTCATATCGATTGATTTCTTGTTTTTTTTTTGGGGGGGGGGATTGCTCGTCGCGCTATTGTTTTGGACACGAAGAAAATTGCTCGTCCATATTTACACGCGCTTCTCCAGGTAATGGACATATTTAGAAAAGTTTTACAGGGCCGGATAAAAAGGATTCTGAAGTCACCCCTTGCTCGAAGGGGATGTGCGTGAAGATGATATAACGATTTTTTAACAAACACGAGGAGACGTTCAGTGTCCCGTGTTGCGAGAGCGAGGAAGGGGTGGTACGCCAAGGGGTGAATTGTTTCTGTAGTGCCGTAAGAGGGGTGGGAATTCTCGAGTGCAATGTTATTACAACTTAATGTGCAGTATTGTTCCCAGTGAGTCCTCGGCTCGCATTTATATGCCCGTGGTGAAGCGCGTTCGCCAACCCATCCCGACCCCCCACAGCCGCACTCTACTTCTGAAGCTCCGGTTCATCCCTCTATGCTTCTACAGGGCTGTACCGGCTACGCCGAGGTAGCAAACACTCAGACCTACTCCGAATAATATTCCGTTCCATTATTCATAAACATTTTATAATCTTCTTAGCCGGGAGAATTATTGCCGCTCGCGCTATTGAAATAACTCTGTGGGTGGATGCCAGGTAGGGGGATGATGGGGTTCAGGATGGGCCGTAGCGAGTTCTCTCAAGTGCCGTCGAAATGTTTCCAAGTGCACACCGTTCCCGGAAAAAAATAATTGAAATTGCCCCGGAGGCAGGAAGGGATGATGTTGTTTTCGGTCGTATGACGGCTGTACAAGAAATTCGAAGTTTCTCCAGGATTTCACAATAGTCCTGTATGTATCTGGTTTTATAAAAGAAAAAAATGTAAACCTCGTTCTTTCCACCCTTAAAGAATTATCCTTTCAGGGATCATTCTCTAAAGGGTTTTGCCCGTTTTACTGATGGGTTTGAGGTCGAACGGACCCACGTAAGTATAGGGTGGTCCCTACCAATATAACCCCCTGATCTCTCTATTACGGGTAGGATTAGCTAGTTATGAAACTCGGCGAGTCTCGGGGCTTAGTAGGGTGAAGCGGTGATGAAGCGTGTTTCGAAAGTTTTAGCTGGACGCGCCTATGGAGCGAAGGATTGTCCCTTCCTTCCTACGTACCGTTATTCCATCATTCCTTTCTTCCTTCTTTCCTCCCTTCCTGGAGCCCCTACAGCATCCTACCTCGTTGCACGGAATAAGTGATCAGAATGTTAGCTACGTCGCGAAGACGTGAGAGCGAGGGAGGACTTGAAGATTCTGCCATTTTGAAATAATAAAAGTCGACAATGAGGAACGTGACGATTCGCCAGGTGAATACGAAAGAGAAATATTTTTCCAGTCGAAGGAATAATGGTATCATTCCTTTTTTCACCCATGATCTAGGACTCGTCTTACGTGTCTGGACTTTAGTCAGATGTCGCTAGAGTGACGGGATTCGTTATCGGGCAAGTTGAGTACCTCCCGAGCCAATAAAAAAGCTGGCAATTATATCGCATTGAAAAGTAAGCTATGCGTGAGGCTCACCGAAGGTTTTAATTTTAGAGGGGATGATTCCACCCCTACGAGAGTGAGAGTAATTTTCGATAAGTCTCATTCAAGTGGGACTTCCACGCAAGCCGCACTGGGTTCACTTTGTTCTCTATAATTTTAATTAAAAACCCGAAAGGCAAGCGAAACAGTCTTGGAGGCTTGAGGGGGGGGGGGTGATGGGGTGGCTGGTGAACGAGAAAAATAAAGGAATAAAGAGAAAAGGAACAAATAGAATAAGCAAAAGAAAAAGGGAGAAAGTTCGCGCCCTCAGAGATTTCGTGGAGGTTCAAGTTTATCTGGTAACGAGGTAAGAAATTTTCAAACGAAAGGGGCAACCTTGGAAGCTGCAGAAGGCATAAGCCAAATATGAGGACGAAGTGGAAGGTGAAGATGAAAAAGATGAAAAAGAAGCATAGTGAAAGCCCAGAAGCAAGTAGCAACCCCTCGCTTTCCGGCAGGCCGATGGATGCTGTTACGTTACCGCCTACGACTGCGAATCAAAATCTTATTAACTGTTGAAAGTGAGTTTCACTTCAAAGTGGAATTTAATTACATTCGCGCCTCCCTTACTTACTTTCAGTAGCCTGGGCTCTCGCATACCTCAGTCAGTCATCAGCAACCCCGGACGCCACGTGCCACCCACCTTCCCCTCACCACCCACTCCCGTCTCGCCGGGACCAGGCTTTCCGTTACTCGCAGACTTCATTTTTGAATAAAAATATTTAAATTACTCCCTCGGCCAACGGAAATTATTACGCCTCCTTCTTTGCCACCTTTCCTTCCTTCTGCCACTCACGATTTTCATCCCTCTTCTAGCAGCCGACATTCGCGCTCGGTCTACCCCCATCCCATCGGCCTATGGCGTAGCTGCTATTTACAGCGCGAACAAATATTCAAATGTAGCTACGATTATACTTTACCGCCTGGCGTAACAACCCCTCACCCCGTCCCCAGTATCGTCTCCCACTACCCCACCAACCCCTCCTGGCAATTGCTTCCTTTGAGGGACTCGCAGATATATTCGCATTCTTTCTCCTTCCTCCTGCATCATGATTAATTTCTGTAGCCTTGATTACGCTAGGATTTACCAGGACTGCCAGACCGAGGCCATGTCCTTTATCGCTCATCCGGCCCCGAGAGACCTTGGGGCTTTACGAGTACACCCCAAGAAATAAACAGCCCTCTTGCCGAAGTCACAATCTCGTGCAACGAGGGAATAAATAATCGCTGGATACAAATCTCACCCTGCCACAACCTCACGGTGGAGGTCCGATGCTTGTCCTTATCATTTCGTCAAGGTGAGCGAGAGATCGAAGAGATAACGGTGCACGCAGCCTCCGAATAGAAAGATCTGCTCCATTGAAAAATCCTAATAAGAATTACCGAGAAAACTGGGAATCAAACAAAATCCATATCTACGGACCGCCGTCTGCACGCACGAGAGGGTAAACGCCTAATGGATACACAAATGACTGGCGGAACCCGCCAAGGGATGATGGTACCTCAGGGGGTAGCTGGGCCTCCGAGGGATTACGTTCCGTGCTCCTGAAATTGCTTGTGAGTCTGTTCTGATGAATCTGACCCTCATCCCAACATCCCCCTGGTCCTACGTAGAAAAGCATCTACCCCATCAGCCGTCGCATTACCTATGTATGTACCTACTAATATCTAATAACCAAGATCGCTTCGAGCCTACCCGTTCGATTCCTTTTTTTTCCTCCCTTATCTTTATCTTTATATTCACCCTTACCTACCGCTGCTGTTACCAGTGCTATTGGCACTGCTGTAGAATGCTAATGACCCCTATGGGGTTCCTATGTTGATATTATACCGTGACTCATACAGTCATAGTCACACTCGACTGTCCTATACTGTATTGTATAGTACGTTCGGATAATTACCTAATGATTATTTTAATAATAAAAGCTCAATGACTCACCTTTACTGGTTCCGTCGGGTCCACGAAGGATGGTGCACTCCTCTATTGTGCCGAAGGGTGCGAACAACTGTCGAACATCGTCTTCGGTCTGTTGCTTGCTGAGCATTCCCACGAACAGCTTTCTGTCTGCAGGCCGGCCATTTTGGAATAAGAGAGAAAATAGTCCGGTTAGTCGTGCCTCGTGCGCTTACGGTTAACTAAAGAATCGTAAAAGAAAAAGAAATCTTGCGGCTAACACCGACAACGACAAAGTTACACGGTACACCAGCATCCACCATCCTAAGGGGGTTGGTGTAGGGGTTCGTGGGTAGGTCAATGGTGATAGGTACTTTTAGGGCTGCCGGGTATAAAGATCTTTAGGCCAAAGGGTGAAGAGACTAGGAGGCTTTTCGGTATAAGGGTATGTTAAGGTTGAGGTTCAAGGGTGCGTTACATATCCGTGTAGGATTGCGTACGGCCCTGACGACACGTATACGCTTTGTATTTACGTCAAAATATACATCTAACACCATGGGGTACGATAATAAGTATAATAACGATCAATAATCAATCCAATCAATCAATCTCAACCTACGACCTACACCACAAGCTGAAGAAACAGATAGAACGGGACGATAATCCGGCCGGGGTTTTAAGCGACTCACTCTACTCGCTAAACTCACCTCGTATTCTCGTTAGGGGTAGTTTTCGACAGTGCCGTTATTATTATCATGACTTTTTTTTTACAAAATCTTTCAGAGTAACCAGAGATCACGAGGTTGAATTTAGCGCGGTGCGGAGGCGACAATATTTATATTTTTTTTTTTTGGGGGGGTGTTCAAGGGGGTTGATTGGTGGTACTGGTTGGGGCAGGGGTTGGTGGAGGGTCACACGCCACTTATAGTACGACAGTGATGCTTACTCTGAGCGCACTGCAGCTATTTCTAATGTTAGATAATTTTGTTGTTTCTTATTCTCTCTTCTTTTTTTTATTTTTTCATTTTTTGGTATTCACGCAATGGCAGATAATTTACGTGTCAACTGTGCTCACTCGACTCCCGTTATCTGCCATCGTTTTGCATGGTGCGTTCAGCCTCTCCCGTACGCACAACTTTTGTCCTTTTTCTTGTTTGGGCCTGATTAGGTAATTTTGTCGCGTTATCACCGTGCCACGAATCGCGCGTATCATTCTCATCGAAGTCAAGATGAAATTTCGTAAAGACGCCTAGACGCCGAAATATTTAGAAATATCTGCACTGAGTATTGTATGTATACGTGGTGTGTGTAATTGTATCTGACGTGTGCGATAAGGTGATACGGGACCAATTGATAAGGAAAAGTATTTTCACTCTTATATGAAATCTCGTGTAACAGGCCGTACGAGTGGCGATATGTAAGACTGAAGGGAACGATGATACGAGGATAATGTAACGTGGTGGGGCGGATGAGAATGGAACGGAGAGGGATGGTAAAGAGAATCCACAGCGTAAATTCTAAAATTAAGGAACAGTCAAAAATGTAACTGACATCGTAATAATGAGAAAAATATGTACAGTGGTGATAAAAAACACATCGACAACGAACGAGACAAATACATCCAACGAGCGAGCCACTATTGGTATTTTGGTGACAGCTGTAATGACGGAAATAATGACGTGGGTAATCATCGTCGCCAGAGGAGCAATAAAATTGTGGACTTGGGGTGCGAACGGGGGTGTGAAGAGTTTGTGAGAGAGAAAAGGGTTTTAGCGGCGGTGACGGGAGAGGGGACAGGGGTTATACAAGTTTCAGGTAATGGACGATATAGAGTTCAGTGCCGAGGAAGGTCCGTATAGGCTTATGAGATAAATGTACATGGGTAATGGTGATGACTAAGGGTTGATGACCGGGCTGGGTAAAACTTGAAGATCGTGTAGGTGGAATCGTCGATGTTGTATCGTGAGAGTGGCTGGTAGACGCTCTGAGATTAGTTTATAACAATTTTGCGTGGCTATTCGCCTTAAATCACACGTGTCTTCTTTGCGTATACACGTATATCTATAGGACATACGTAATTCCCTTCATCTAGACATTTATCTTTGGCTATCTTGAGATATTTACGAGATTCTAAGAGCGTCCACATACGTCACGCCGTAACGAGGCTTAATAATGTAATAACAATGATGTAATAAATAGGAATAAAACACGAACGACAGGTTTACGGCTACACGAATCAGTCACGCACTTAGGCACGCACAACACCTTCTAATATCTTTGGCACACGGACGTGACATTAGATAGATAGATAGATAGATAGATATAGATAGATAGATGGGACACGGGTTCGTATATGGATGCCGTAATATTGTCCGTCCCTGCTCGGTCTAGAACTTGCGAGAGTAGAATGAAAGTGATAATAATAATAATTTTCAAGAGAAAATGTATAGAGAGAGGGGGGAGGGGGTAAATTTTGAGATGATTTTTGATTTTATGAACAGACAATGATTTTGTATTTTTTCTCTCGCAAGGGATGAACACTGGCCGAGAAGGAACGGAGGGTTAGGCCTCGTGAGGGTGTCAGGCGAAGGGTGGTTGTTGGCGGGGAAGGGTTGAAGGGTCGAACACTAGCGAGCAGCAAAATGAACTCTGCAGCAAACTGTGCTGGCTGAATCAGCGGTGATGGCGTGATGAAGGAAGAAAAGTTCGTTTTACTCGTGTTCTTTTTTTTTCTTTTTTCTCTCTCACTCTCTGTCAGTCCCTCTCCTTTTTTTTGTTCCTTGCGTGCTTTTTCCTCCTTCCTCGCACTCTCTCACCCTTCCCCTCTCACGTTCTCTCACGCTCACGCTCACGCTCTCCCCATCGCTTTCACTCTCTGCCGTTTCACTTTTTTGTCTCTGTCGCTTTGCGGAGAAGAAGAATAGAGGTCTGGAAGGAAGCTAGCTATCTCCTGGAAGTCGAAGTTACCTTCAGCGGCCGCCACTGGTGCCTCCTACTTCCAGAAGATGGCACTGGCGCTCCCGTCGTCCATCATGCACTCTGGAATACAGAACAGAAGAACAAAGATGGCAATGGGCCCCAAAAAAAGTACCATGGTCATCGTGAGCGCACATAATTTTTTTTTGTCAACGCGCGCGCGCAATTATATGTATGTAGATGCGTTCCCATCCGCTTGATACGAAAATCCTTTTGATATTATCTCGCGCGCATTTACGTAACTTGGAAAAGCCTCGTCGTCGTGTTCTCATGTATAAAACGTGACTGTACAGTGCAGGATATTTCCATACGACCCTTTTGTGCGACTAAAGTATCGAGAATCATTTCTTTCAAAGGGTTTTCAGTGCTTCTTGGCTGACCAGAAAGAAAAACATTGTTTACCTACTGCAGTCCCTCGGGACCAGGTCCCAACAGTGGAATGCTGCTCGCGAAGGAATTTCACTCGCGAGATCGTAATGGCATCGTGGGAACTGGGAAGAAAAAAGGGGAAAATAAAAATGATAGGAAATAAATGGCGAGAAATAGAGTTGAAATAGGAGGCCATGGAAAGGTGTAAAGGCAGAAAGTATTGGTAAAGGGGGTCGGAGGGTACAAGTAGGTATAAGGGGTAGTTTGCGCATCGACGCGATTGCGCGTACCGTTCGTTCGCTCGTTCGCCTGCTCGCTGCTCCTGAGGGGGTGGCTTTTGAAAACCCGCCTTTAAGCGTACAGGGGGGCGCCTAAGTCTCTGCGCGCATGTAATAAGGCATTTAAAGAGAAGCCAGAGCCCTTGGGCTTGGGATACATAGCGCCAGCTCATTCCGCAGCCTCCCCTGACATCCTCGTCCTCTCTCTCTCTCTCTCTCTCTCTCTCGCTCTCTCTCTCTCTCTCTCTCTCTCTCTCTCTCTCTCTCTCTCTCTCACTCTTACGCTCTCGTTCTATCCATCACTCTCGCTCTCTCGCACTCTAGGCTCTGGGGCACATTTAAGGATTTGTCTCGGGAAATTAGATTCTCGCCTGACTTGCAGCGTCGTTGCCCCCTTCTACCCCCCTAACCCTCCACTCTTCTAGCCAACCCTCTATATATATATGCTATGTGCTATAACGTCACTACCCCTCAGGCAGATCTCTCCTTTTAGCCTCGAGAACGGGCGGACCCTTTTCTTCGAGCTGAAGCTCCATTGTCCTGTCGAGACACTCCGAGGGCCAGGAATTGGACTTTTGTCAGCGAGCAAAGTGTTAACACACCCTTTGGACTTGGCGAACCCCGGACGGAGGAAAAAAATTAACCCTCTGGAAATTATCTTCAGTACCAATAACCATTTCAGTATCTACACGAGTCCACGAAACATCCGGTCGATCGATCGAACGCCATTGTAATTCCAGTGTTATTGAGTTTTTGAAATTCAATATTTACTTATATCAATTGCTCTCTGTTCTTACTAAGTTTCAATGAAATATTTAGTATTTCTACGTGAAACCGGGAATGGGTATTTTTCAAAATATCTTAACCGCGCTACAATTAGTCTGGCTGGCTTTGAAGCGTTGGACTGGGAGGCCGTTCCGCTGGCAAACATCATTTTCATCGACATTCGGTTGAGCCCGAGAGAAGCAGGAGGGTGGCAGGAGGAAAAATTAACCCCCGGGAAATTATCTCCAGCGTGGCGCTGAGGAAGAATCAGGGAAGGTTGGCAATGTCGATGGTCGGCGGGTATAGAGGTGGTAGTGATGGCGGCAGCACGTCAGAGGCCCCAGAAAACTTTTAAGCAAGTTAACGCATGTCGGATGGACGAGGGTGGCTAAGGGCGAGCAATCTTCACTGGAGCGCGTTTAGTATTTACGTCAGCAGTTTTCTCTTTGCGGCCGCGCGGAAGCTTCGCCGCCACTAGGGAGTAGCTAAAATTTTATGTTGAAAACGAGCCCTGCGATCCTCCGAAAAGTTCCCCTTGTCCCTACCCTTCGACCCCTGAACTCCCCCTATCTCGCCATCAGTCCCTTAAATATTACATGCGAGGAGTCTTTATACTAGTTCGAGTTCGTGTCTGACTCTTCGCACGAGACGACTACTAGTTTCGACCCACCCACCTTTACTTCGTTCAACCAATCCCAGGACACCTGGCACAGCTACATTTCCATAATACATTAGAGGAAAGAATCACTCGTGTCAATAATTCCACTAGTTTAACGAAGTAGTCCAGGAAGAAGGCACCCCTATCGGATGAAGATACCCAAGCGTGTGTATATAGTAATAGCGTGTGTGCCAAGGGTCGGAATCGACCATTTGGTATAAAGTTCGAAGAAACGTAAAGTAGAATGCTATAGGTTGATATCTCGAGATACGTTTATCCAAGTGGGTAGGAGTAGGTGAATCGTGCGACGGCGAAGATGGCTATGAACCAGGAAGGTTGTAGGTGGGAAGGCTGTAGAAGCCAGGGTGGCTCGCCGAGGGATCGGAACTTATCTACTTGCTCAACTAGCCTTGCTACAGCAACCCGCCCTGCCGTTCGCCTTATACTCGTACATAGAGCCACGTATCAGAAGTTGCTAACTTGCCTCGAGTTCCAGAAACTTGGCGAGATACGCATTTCTCAAATCTGCTTCATCGGTGCACCCTTAATTCCGCAGTTGCAAGAGGTCTCGGCTGCTTCCTTGGGACTTCGCCTACTAACCCCCCCTTCCAGAAGCCCAACCATTCGAGTCGAGAAGATATAGAGGATCCGGAGTGCGAGTAGATGATAATGCCACTAGTTACATAAGTATATACCACAGACACTATATATATACAGCTATTCTCTTCTTGTCACCTTTTTCTTCCTCACCGGATCCAATGGAGGGGGTTGTAACTGACACAGCGAGATGATGAGAGCACTCGATCGTAGGGGGGTGCAAGAGCAAGATAATGGACCAAGAGGATTGGCTACGTCACTCGGACTCTTCGTCAAGATTTAAGCTCGCTTCCATTCATGGCGCGTTAATACGCAACAGATAAAAGTTCCACTCTTCATTTCGTAGACGCTGAATAAAGGTCCAGCGCGCAGCATCCCACTGAGAACGATCAGTGGTCCAGGAGCTTGAGTACACCGAAGAGAGTTGGGGGTATAGAGGCGAGGGACTGGTGTGGGATATCGCGGTAAAAAAGAAGTCTAAAAAATAAAAGAGAAAAGATAAAGAGCGGAGAAGCAATTGCGAGGGGCATCAGTAACAGCCGTCGACAGACACTAAAGATAACGAAGCGTCCCCTTAACGGGTCGCAATTAAAATTTGATCTATCCTTTGTATTGCTAATAGGACATTGCCCCGCGGAGTTAAGTTGCGTTAAAGTGTCGCCGCGCTGGGAGGGATCTATAAATGATGTAATTAAGCCGCGCGAGGGGCCCTTCCAAGATGGCCTGTAAAGGCAGCCGTTAATGCAGAAAAAGCCAGGGAAACCGCCGAAACAATGAGACCTTTCGGGTGAGACGACGTAGGACTTGGGACGGAGAGACATTTTGCCCGTTTTGTCGGTGGAACTGAGAGCCGCAGAGGACGAAGGTTTTTTGTCGGGTACGAGTAGCGTCGAGGTTGCCGAGGGGTCGGATCTCCATTTTCATCCCTCCGACCAGTAAAGCCCAGAAGGCGCGTCACTTTTGATACTTTAGCCAAAAATATCGGTTTAAACCCCGCGTACAGTCGCAGGCCCGACACTATTATCGGGATGTCTTCATGACCCGGGGATAAGCGCCTCTCGAAACTATCCTCTCTATAAATCCCTTGTACAAGGTCAGACTACGAGAAATACACGCGATACTCTGTCAGCATCTCTTATACATGTCGGGCTATCGTGAGAGACTTCTCAATGGATTATATACTCGCAGTTACGCAATCCCGTTCACTTCAAATAAGATAAGATGAGCTAGAACGATCGTCTCTGAAAAGTATCGATGGACTCCCTTATGAAGGTTTCGTATAGGCTGGTTTTTGACCACTGCGCCAAAATAAGGTGGTACGGAACGGGTCTTCGTCTCGTAGGCCGTCTAGGGTTGCGAAAGGGGTGAGAGGAGTTTCTGACGGTGACGGTGTTGCCAAAGTTCACTAACCCCTGATTGAACTCTGCAACTACGTGGATACAGGATCTACATAGGTATACAGCTTCCAGCGTGGATCACTCTGGCTGCATCCGCGTCAAGGCGAGGCTTTGTGGGGCGTACCGAGGCGGGCGACCGGAGATTACAATGGCATCTCCTCGAGATTAGCATATGAATTACGATCCCCCCTCTGCCTCATCTAGAAAGCCCTTCTACGTTCCTCTACACGCCGCCCCCCCCCAGACCCCTTTCACTCGGTCCGAGGACCGAAGTGACTGCCTCCTGAATAGTTGGATAGTATCTACCTATAGGTCGCTGCTATAGTTAGTTGTAAGGACGAAAGGAGGAAGATCCGTTTCTGTCATCGTCTGCCAAGTCATGCGGGCATCTCCAGGGAACTTTCGGAGCTTCTACGGTGTTGACTCAACTAGGAAGGACTCTTGGACGTTGCTGGGACCTCACAGTGTTTGGTGCACTAGGACGAGGAGGAACTTGAGGATAGCCAAATGCGAGTGAGGACGATGGAGATCTGTGTACGTACGAGAGAGTGAGAGAGAGTGACAGGGGTAACGGGAGAGGATATCAGGTCGGGGACAGGTGAGGGCAAAAGAAAGGAGATCGCGTTTTCCATTGCTTCTGAATTTAGCATTAATTTCGAGAAAGTTCTTAGGGGGACTGTTTTAATGGCCACCCCTGGTCGGGATGTGTCGGGGCTTGGACACGCAATGGCGACCTTGATAAAAGGCAGGGTTGCGCAAAGAGGTCAGTCCAGTCTCTGGTGGACAGCTGATAATGGACGTGCGCTGTCTCGGTAACATTAATAATAAACCTTTGCGGCCTCTTAGTGAAACGTTCCTTTTCTTTTCTTTTTCTTCTTTTCTTTTTATTCACTCCCATCACTTCTATCCTTATTTCCTACCTTTCGTCCTTCTCTCTGTCTTTCTCTCTCTCTCTATCTCTTTTTTTTATTACCGAGCAAACGTGTATAGGTCGAACGGCCTTCCGGTGTGTGAACGAGCGCAGATGATGTAGTTATAAAAAAAATAAGAGTCGCGTGTCCGGGCCTAGGGATAACAAGCAGATAGTTATCAGCACCACCTGGCTGTACTTCTTATCCATCCGGCATCGATAGGTTTATTGTTCCCGTGACCACAGCTCGTCAGCAATGGAACGTATTTACTCCACTTATTTTAGAGCGAAAAGAAAAGTACTCTTATTCAGTATTATTTCCCTCGAAGTAATCAGGAATATCGGTAACTAAAAATTATTGAAAATCAAGAAACAGCCGTGAGTCCATATTATTGTTTTGAGTGTGAAGAAAATAATATCACAATGCAACTGATTAAAATGATTTACCGAGGTCGGATAATTATTGCCGAGGGGAATTTGCAATAATTTTTTTACATGAAAGGACATTTTTTTTAGTTCCAAGATCACGATGCCCGAAGCCACCGGAAGTTGTAGAGCCAGGAGGTAATCTAGGTATCCGCCCAAAAGGTGTTGAGAATTCAATCAACTCGAATAACAAAAAACGGTTAAAAACCTTTGGCTTCGTTCCAAAAAGGATATTTAGGTCAGTGTGGGGTTTAACGTAGACTCGAGGGTAACCAAGATGGAACGTCAAAGGAATCGGACAAAAACGAAGCTCCTTCGTGTTGCACCTAGGAGGCGTCCATAAAAAACGTCTTAATGCTTAATGTCTTCCTCGAGGGAAGGTTTATTTTTTTTTTGTTATCGCAGTCTTACTTCAGTCGCCCTCCAGAAGACTCCTGAAAATCGGCCCTTCGAATCGATCGTTTTGTCTGATGCTAATAATACAAAGGTGAAAAATCACCTCCCGAATATAACGCACATACCGATTCCTATAGGATGAGTCACGGCTGAAATATTGAATTCCCGATAAATAAAATAGCCAATTGAATATAGAACCTCCTAATTATACAATAATTAATTAGCTGTATTAATATCTTTTGTATTCACTGCGTACATTATCGAATTCGATCGTTTCCTCTTACCTCCGCGGTTTTCACTGTCCGCCGGCTTCACTTGAATAGGACGGTTCATCTGAAACAAAAAAGGTACAAAAGACTTCTTTGAGTGACTATACAGAAGGCAAATGAATGAATGGTAATTTACCAGGCAAAAAGGATATACTAAGATACTATGACGTAACGATGTATCACGGGATGAAAATGAGTTGAAAGGGTGGTAGAGGGGGAGGGGTTGCGAAAATAGCAAAGAGAAGGAAAGAGGATGCTGGTATTAATGAAAGGTGAAACCTCCGACTGGAAAGACAGTTAAGAACTGACAATAACACGAAAATGTAAAAGGCACAAAGTGGAGGAAGGATGAAAATTCCAATCGAAGTTGGAAAGCCCTTTCAGTAGCAGTAGATACTCCCAGTACAGTGGCAGACACAGTGTTAGTCGTAGAAGAGGTGGCCCTGAGGTCTTCGGAGGCGCTAAACGCGGCGGGAAACAAGAAGAAGACATATACATATACATATATAGATAGCCATATAGATAGCCATATATATATATACATATATAAAATACGCGCCAGGGATATCTCGAATGTCTACAGCATGTCGGGGCAATGGAAGTATCGTTATTTGTTCAGTTTACACTGTCCGGTCCCGTCCACCCCTCGTCACTTTACTCTTACTCAAACACCATCCGCGGCAGAGAAGAGATCTCTCTGTTGCTGACAGGGCTAGCTTGGCCAGTCTGACTTGGCTATAGGCTGGTACGATTGGGTTCACCCCGTGAGAGAGGGTGTCCTTTCTCTAGGCCACGAGAGCTCGAAACTCCATCCCACGACTTTCATCCCCACCTCGAAGTTTCTCTGCCGTCGCCCTTGTTCAGATCTCTTTCCTAGCCACCCTTACTCTCTCTCCTTTTCTCCCTCCCTTCACCCAGTCCCTCCTCCGTCACTCTCCGACTCTTAGCGCGGGCCGTTCGTGTTTTACTGGCAAGGCCCCTTGGCAGCCCTTCTGCCCCAGGTCCCTCGTCGAGCTCAGATGGGTGGGGACGAAGAGAACAAACAACGTTGTTTATTTGTCGGACGGATTGTTGGTACTGCTGTGCGCTCCAGTTCGCAATGTGGCTGAGGGTGAGGATGCATGATTCATGACGCAAGGGACACGAGACACGGAGCAGCGTGGGCCGGGACTCTCACCGTAGTCCTCTGCTACTCCTGCACTCTTACGGAAGAGGTTCAGTTTGTCTCACTGCTTCCTAGTGGTTCCTTTCAGCCAATTTTACTCCGAGCATGCATGGCATACGTATACCGGATGTTGAGCTCTGGTCCCACAAGACCATGTGGTCTCAGGCTTTACTATCACATCTGTTATAGAAGTCCGTGCTTTTCTGCTCTCCACTCTCTCCTCCCAAGTGACCAGAAAATCACATTGATACGTCCTATCTACTGTATACCAATCGCTACACCCGACCGCTAAGATCGAACCAGGAAAAATGATTCTTCTTCTTCCAGTACTCTCTGACCCATATTATTTCACTTTATGCTATACTCCTTCAGTTGGCTACAAAGCTACTACATATTTCACACTCTATAGTCCCCGCCGGTACACACAAAAATTGATCGGAGTCATAAATGCGATATGAAGAAAGGAACGATCCTTCGATCCGAATGCCCGGGACCAGGGTCGGTCGTTCTCCAGTAGGTGGTAGCAGGTCGCCGCGACGTGCCTACGAACTCGAGCCAATTTTCGCCCACCGGTACAAGGGGTGAACGTTGGGCACGTACCAAAGGGTTTTTCACCAGGGTGCTGCAGAGATGGCTTCGTGCTGGCTTCGCGAAGGGAAAATTGCGTTACGCCTCGGAAGAGGCTTCGACGCAGGGAGGTACCTGACGGTAACGATGCTTTGCGACCTAGGGTAAATATCTCAGGGGAGAAATCGCCAGGACGTGTAAGGTTAATGGCACAAGTACATACACCCAGTACCCAGTACATACATAGCCTGGTCCTAAAGTTCTCCACTCCCTACGCTTTCGTAACCTCGGAAGTTTGGCAGCTAGGATGCCAGCTGTAATTTGCGATAGAACTATATTTCACAACCCCGTTCCCAGCCCTACGACGGGAAACCACCTATTAGCTATTTAATATTCCACCGCAGCTATTAGAGGGCCGCTTCTGCTATCCTAGTTGGTGCTGAAAGGACGGAGAGGGGGTCTAGAAAGATAGATAACGGCGAGAGGGGTCGGAGGATAAGGGTTGCAGGGTGTAGAGAAAGTACGAGAGAGAGTGCGGGAGGGGTGGTAGCGGATGAGGGAGGAGGTCACTTTAAGCACTGTCCGCCAATCAGGAAATTAAACTTTGACTCGAGTAGTAGCCATTAGGCGTTTGTTGTCGGCTTGTTGTCAGGGGAACCTTGTGCTCGTAGATACAGCAACTGAGATACGCTACCCACTTGTCTCTCCTGGGAAGGTTAACGTTCAATGCATCGTGTAAATGTCAGCCAGGGTCCCCGGTGGGACGTGTTGCAGTCAATAACGATCGGACCGATCGGGGCGGGATCGACACTTCGCGAGCAGGAGACTCGAGAGATTTCTAATAAAGATTATCAAACGGTCCATATCGGAGGGAGACGGAAGTTCCGTTAGCTCGTTGAAAGGAAGCCGAAGATATATGTTAAACTCGAATTGAATACCCGGTACGTGGGATATGAGTTTAATCTGTTGATATCGAAGATCGATATCACTGTTATCGTTAATCGTGGGATTATACGCGAGCCAGCGATCTTACGGCGTCTGTATCTAATAATGTTTATTACGATCGAACATCGACCCTTCTGTAACTTGTGTCATCAGCCCTAGTGCACTTAGAAAATCGATTCCCTTGAGAGACACCACTCAAGATGGATGGTAATAAGTAAATGTGTTTGCCGAGCCCCGAGCGCATATCCCAAGCAATTAATTAAGCTCGATTATCTATGTACACTGCGGGAAAGCATGCCGCCGACGCCGACGCCAGGCGTCGAGGGGGAGATGCAAAATGATAGCCACGCTTCAAAATGCGCGCTGAGCTTGCCTGCCTGGCTCCGTGGAACAGCACGAAAGAATCATCGTCATTCCTCCCTGATGTTTCTTCGACGCTCCGTAGCTGTTTGCGTGTTTGGCTGGATGGTCATTGCGTCATTAGCAAACTCATTGTCATTCAATGTAATCATAATACTTTTAAGCGTTTTTCTTTTTTTTCAGTCATCAGTCCATATATTAATCTCTACAGGCTTGGGTTGATGTTTTGAGATAGGCTATGGTATGTTATGTATGTATATAGTCGTTATGATACAGCTATCGATAAAAATTGAATCTATGATTATTCTTAACGCGTTTACGAAAAGCGTCGCAAAATCCAGATACTGGATGGGTGTACGCTGATAACCACGAAATTGAATGGTGAATGCCGCTTCGGAAATTGAATAAGCTATCATGGCTGGCCCGAGTGGCGAGTGGAGCCCCCGGTATTTGACCTGCCTGCCTTGATGCCTGCCTGCCAGCCTACTACCTAGCTGGATGGCTGGCTGCAATCAATGTACTGATTGGAGATAAGGGTGGTAGCCCTATACTCTGGCATCCCCCTGCTATGATTTATATAGGAACGGTCTTCGCCGCCAATGTATTCATTACTTGATTACCCTTCTCTGACTCGTGTCGGACTTGTAATTCGAACCTCAGGATCGGTCCGATAAGATTCTTGAAAGCGGATGCGGATTGTTCAGAACGTTTAAGTCTATATAGTCCCGACGCTGCGATTAGGGATTATTTCTTGGTGATTCAAGCTTTGCGACGTCTCTTTCTCTCCCTCTCTCTCTCTCTCTCTCTCTCTCTCTCTCTCTCTCTCTCTCTATTTGCCTTCCTCATTGCTAACTCAACTTCATTTTGATAATTTCATCGAGCAGCAGCCTCGGGCCAGACAGACGAGAGCGTTTAGCGAACGAGACGGGAGGATCGAATTCTCGTATATGCACCGTTAAATTCGCCAATTTGTCGAATGCTCCGAAGCAAACTCAGTTCGCTCTGTTCCGGCTGGGATGCCGACGTAAGCTAGCGCATACTCGCGAGCGCGTGCGCAAAGGCTACAAATAGCGAGAGAGGATGAGAGAGCCTGCTGGCGGATTAGATCTAAATGGAATCTAGCCAAGCTAATTGGCGAATTAATTGAAACTCGGAATTAATTCTACCACTCAACAGCTGATATGCGATAGTGCGTCCTACGATTCTCCTTGATTCGCTCCACTACCGAGAGACGTACGCGAGGGGGTGCGCGAGGAGGATGAAGAAAAGCTTTTAAAAAAAATGTTATACAATTCTAACGAATTATCTTCCTATTGTACATCTGTTTTGATTTTACCATTTCATTCGTAATTACGAATAACAAGCGGATCGACGCGTTTCCCGTATCTCCAACCCCCCTTCAGCCCTTCAATCTTTTGATGCCAGCGGACAATGTGCTATCAGCCAACGATAACTCGTACTGAAACTTTCGTTACGATTCACAGTCGTATCGATAAAGCTCCAGCTGTGCCTGCATATATGCTGCGTGCTATTCGCTTCATCCCCCCTCTCCCACCCCTCCGAGCCACCTCCTACGATTATAAATAGAAGCTGTTTTATTGTTGAAAGCGGAGCCTTGTATGATTGAACATTATCCCGTAATGGCAGGCGAGAGCGTGGTGGAGGAGGGAGGAGGGGGGGTGGATGAGGATAGTGCTAGCTTATGTCAGCCACAAAAGTACCCCTAGAGAATACGCTATCTCGCGATAATTTCAGGTGATGATAAAAATTTGTACTTGCCAATCCACCCTTTATGTCCCTTATCCGATGCAGCCACTTGCATCCGTTCCAACGTTTCGGTGTATACACGTATATATGCACCATAGCTAAACTACGACTCGTAAACTAGCGAGGGAAACTAGCAGTATGAAACTGCCTGTACTTTACGCGCTTCACAAATTACGGCCATGAACGGGAAAGAGAAAAAACATTGCTCGATTTATGAAATTGCTGATATCGCATTATACGGCGTAGTAGACGGGATGCGG